GGCCTGGTAAAAATCATGGAAGTTTTCGCATTTACTTGATTTCCAACATACCATCATTGACTACTATGAACAATATTGATAATCGAGCAAAGTTCCATTCGTTAGCTTTTTTTCTCACTTTCCTATTTTCTAATATGCACTTCTTTGCCTCATATCTTTCTTAATTCAGACTTTACCGTAATCGCATGGAATTCTCGATGTTATTATGGTGGATATATCTCACGAACTGACTCTCTGCATTGTGTGCACCTATTTTCAACAGCTATATGATGCAGCAACTCTCACTTCTTGTTTTTTGTTCTCAATAAACAGACGGTTTGGCTGCACAATTTTGATAGCATACACATTGCATCGACGAAAACGCTTCAATTGAAGTTCGTTAACAATGTTGTTCCATACTTGTCACAAGCCATATTCGTTTTTCTACGGTTTGGCACACTGAAAACAAAAAAGGTACCAAACGAAACCTTCGATGCTTCGTGGAGCTATACAATACTATTTAGGTATCCGTGAAATTATACGAAATCTGTACAAGGTTCAGCAAAATGCAAGGTTTTATAGTATACTCTTAAGAGTTTTGAAATTTAAATAGGTTTCTTTGTGAACTATCTCGAATTTGTGACTTACAATAGGTTTCGTCATAAACCCTTTTGAGTTTTGCATTCCAACAGGTTTGTTAAAATGCCTCGCGAAGAGAACGTATTCATGGCATATCGTAAAAAAACAAAGCGATCTCTCTCGACACCGCATATAACAGCACAACTACATGACTATCCAGGTTGACTAATCCGAGGACGAATTCTATCGAATCCGATAACATCCTACTAATCGAGGAAATTCAATTGGACTCTGCGTTTCGAAATTATTGACGGAACCGACGGGAGAATTAAAAAAAATGATCAAAATTCTATTTAGTGCAAAAAAAGCTTTTTAGAGATTGACTATAGCAGACTTATTTGGCGTATCGGATCCCAGAGTTTTTCGTTACAGATATCATCAAGATCATTATTAACTTTCTACACATTTTCTACACAAATCGATTCTCATATGATACATTATATGAATTACATGAACAAGCAGCAAAAGAAAGAAAGAATTATATGAAATCGAAACAAATAACAACAGCAACATCAAATTTATGTCAAACGGTCCAGTCAAGAACATCAGGACATGGAAATGGAAATGATAACAAAAGAAAACATCAGGTCGTGGAAAAGCAAGACAAAATCGTATTAAAACAACAACATCAACAACAAGAACCAAAACAACAACAACAATCTCAACAACTACAAGAATCAACAATTCTCGACAATGTCCGGATAAACAAGGACGAAATATTGAACCATGAAAGAAAAACGAAAAAACATTTACAATTTAAATAAATTTTATTTATTTATTTAAAAAAATGTTAAATTAAAATATTTTATTTAATTATATTAAATAAAAACAAAATTGTGCTGCATCGTAAAACTATTTAAACAAATGAACAAGTCGATTCTCATATGATACATTATAAAAATATTCTTGTATCAAGAATATTTAAAAGGATAATAAAACTTTATTCTTCTTCTTTCTATCATATTTTTAATATTAGAAGGAAGAATAAATGTCAATTGTATCATAGAATGTTCAATAGTAAAATTACGATACACATCTATAATCTAATGTGTCCGAGAAAAATTTATTTTTATTCGTATTGCATCGGACGTATTTTTTTCAATATTGACCTAAAAGCGAAAAAGAGAGAGAGTATAGATTCAATAGCTAATGGAAGAGAAAATGAAAATAATAAACAACGATCTTTTTATTGATTTTTCTATGTATATTAATCTAATTTTATTGAAATTTTTTACAAAAATGACAAAAATATGGACTCACTTAGAGTTTTCCAAAAAAGAACATATTTTTCAATGTACAGTTTTTTATTCAATCCATATAATTGTACCTGCCGATAAATAGTCTGACCTGAAAGAGCGAAATGTGTTGATTAAATTCATATATGAACTATTAACAAATAGTACATATAAATTAAATTTATGACGAACAAATAGTGTCTCTATTGATATTATGAGACTTATCCCGTTTCTCAATCGAAATCATGTAAAGTTATGACATTTGCCATTTGTATTTTCAGGATAATATACAAATTTATCGAAAGTGGGTGTGGCTGTTGCTCTTCTTTCCGACTACATCCACACCCATGTCAAAATCAGTCGTCAAGAATTAGATTAACAGTATTTTAATTATTGATCTTCAGGTAAAGTGTTTAATGAAGAAAATTCACTACGATTATACTTATAAGAGTAGCTCTTTGAGGCGGTTAGAGTTTCAGCTAAATATAAAAAGTTTAAGTCTTTGATTCAAGAATGAGTTATAGAAAACCTTATCAATCAAGAGGAAAGTACATACAAATACTTATACAAAGAGGATGGCGTCATTTCTAGAATAGAGTTGAAGCTTGTGACAGTTCTCGCTTCGCGTAGAATATTATTGTTTTCGATAAACGGATACAAATTTCTAAGTGTTAAACTAGTGAGATGATTAGTGATTCCGTATTTTCTCTTGTCCATGTCTGTAATATTTAAAGATATTTTCACGAAACAATCTCATTTGTGGGTGTGGGTGCCCATATAGGTATTTTGTTTGGCGACACACCCACCCACCCATCCACACCCACACCCTCGATTTAAAAGAAAATTCAAATTGTCTTTTTCTATTCGACAGACTAAAGAAGGAGTAATCTTTTGATAAAAAAAATGTTTTTCTAAGGACCTTATGGATCAAATAAAAAACTAAAATTAAGACGGTGAGGGTCATGATGAGGGTGTCATCTGTACCTTTACGCTTTTACTATCGGCATGTATATCTGCCGATAAAGTTCTATATACGCTCATTAGATTCTCCTTTTCAAAAGCTTTCGATTGATATATAATAACAATATATTAATTGTTATCCGTGATTTTTTTGTCAAAATATTTCTAAAATTATTTATTTTATTATGTCAAGAAATCTCGAAAAAGATGCATTTTTAATAAAAATTCGATTTTTTCTGAAATGAAGAACTTGACAGTTGGGAAAATACTTGATTTATACACAATCAATGAAGCTCTATCTAATGCACAATTCAAACGTTCTTCAAAATCACTTTTATTTTTTTCGATTTTTTTTCACCCAACCGTACAATACGAGTGCAATTCACTCATGTATATAGTTATATAAGGACATTCGTACATCTTGATAATGTTTGATTTGTTGGTCAATAAAATAATTTTTGACTTACTTTGAATATTTCTGTGTACATCTGAATGATTCAATAGAAAATTCCTTCGAAACGTTTTTCAATACAAAAGTTTTTTTATATGTATTTAATCGACAAAATATACTCATTAAGATTACGCATAAGTTCCTCAAAATTTGAGATAGTTTATACCCATGTCGTTCAAACCGCTCAAAAACCGACGGTTAACCGGGGTTCTCCAGCTGAAACTTTTTCTGTATCACAGAGGGTGAAAATTTTTCAACTCTTACAAAATCGTCAGAATTAGGCTGAAATCGGCGTTCCTCATAAACGAAAGGGCGCTGAAGCCGCCGGTACCAGCCACATCTGTTTTATTCGCTTAGCTTTCGAGTTCTGATTTTTATTAAAGATACCGCCATAAAACTAGTTATTCGCTATATAGCTTAACCAATAGAAATATGAATGGCATCATCTGAGAAAATTTACTGTGGCATGATTACCTACACTTTTTTGAGTTGGAATCGAGTTTTTTAAGACTAAAAATATTAATTTAGAAGAAATAACTTTAAAAAATCGATATACGAAGAGAAACCGCATTGAACCGGCGGTTTTGATGAAAAATCGACAACATGGGTACCTACCACTTCGATTTGTTATTCACGTCAGATGCTATTAAGAGACTGTATACTTTATATGAAATGTATTTTACTATGCAGCAACAAATTTTTTTCCCCTTGATATCATTGGTAGTCATATATTCTTCTTGTAAATAGTTTACCATTGCTACATGTAGTTCTTATCAACAGTGTGCACTTCTGAAAGCAAAAGAAAAGAAAACGAAAAAAAGGAGGCAAAAAAATCACCAAACAGGACACAAGGTGTTATCATACTGCATAGATAATAAACGAATCATTTTACAAAATCAAACAAACGGTGTAAGACCCATAAAAAGACTCGTATCATCAGTAACACAACACTGGTGAGTAAATTATTACAACGATGTGGAAAGCAAAAGAAACTATTTCTAATGTTGTATACTTCTCAGCAAAATGCTGGATGGGGGTGTACTTTTTTTATTCGCATCCAAACTCACACACCCACACCCACACCCACACCTCACACCGACACCGATAACAGTCTAAAATGTCCTTTGAAAAATGTCCCCGATATTTCGTCCTTGAAAAAATGTCCATCGGAAAAAATGTCCCTGAGAAACGGTCCTTAGAGATATTGTCCTCCGAAAAAATGTCTTTCATTTTCAAGATGTGCTTTCTGTAAAACATGAACTACTCTTATTCATAAAATCAATCATGTGATATAATCAATTAAAATGAATAAAATTCTAATTTATTTTTCAGTTGCGACAAAAAAAGAAAGTTCTTTTAATTTGTCTTTCTATTAAAATTTTAAAATTGGAAATTATAACCATTAACAATTAACATAAGTTTTCCTTTATTCGAGTGTGTTTTTGTATTGTTGGTTTAGTTGGACTTGGTTGTAAAAATGAATTTTCAGGTAATTGAGATGACGATGAATATTCAGTTTCATCAATAGTTGTCAACTTATTAGATCCCATTAAAAATGTCTTTTTACGATGACGGAAAAATATTACGCAAA